CCTGCATGGTTACCTTCCGGGATACAAGTCTCCTCAACAATATTCACAACATTCTATTCTAACACCAACTCAGTCACGATACAATTCATCCTACAATCAACAACAACATGGTCAACAATTCAACAATCTGAAAGTTCATACTCAATAGAATCAGAAAGACAATATTGTTGGTAATGTGGTGACGAGTTCTCCTGCTGTTCAAGACCATTTTCATCAGGTCTCACCGCTTTGGCTTAACTGTCTGAAACTCAACTTCAGCAACTAGCACAACAATTGACAACAAAAGCTCAATGCTCTATACCAAGCATCAGTGAGAATCTGAATATCAACTATGGATCTACTTCAGCAGGCAATCTGCTTTGCAGTACTCTAAAGGAACCATGCTTTAATTTCAGTGCTTGGATAATTGATTTTGTAGCAACAACCCATGTTTTTTGCAACTTAAGTCTGTTTGACTGCATTAATATTATTTCAGAAACTACAGTGAAATTATCTGATGATACTCAGATTGTCATAAACCAATCTGGTACTATCAATTATCAGATAACATCCTCCTCCAAAACGTCCTATACATTCCCTTATTCCATTTAAACCTCATCACTGTCAGTTTCTTCTTGAACAATATGCTTCTTCCATTAACTTTTTCCCTTCTTTTTGCACTATTCAAGGGTTTACTCCGGGCTCGATGATTGGGAGGGGCAAACTACATAATAGAATCTATTTTCTGGAACTGGAATCCCAATCATCTCAATCACTCATTTGCAATATTTATCCTTCTGATTCAAGCTCACTTTGGCATTCTCGCTTGGGTCACCCTTCATTTCCCAAGATTCAAGTTCTCTCTGAAGCTCTTATTATCCCAAAAACTCACCTCAAGGTCTGGTCACATTGTAATACATGTCATTTAGCAAAACAGAAAAGATTGTCTTTTACTTCTAATAAAAATTTGTCTCAAAACCCTTTTGATCTTGTACATCTTGATGTTTGGGGTCCTTTTTCTATTGAATCTGTTGAGGGGTTTAGACTCTTTCTTACTATAGTTGACGATTGTACAAGAGTTACGTGGGTATCCTTCTTAAAATCAAAAAGTGATGTTCTTCAAGTGTTTCCATCTTTTGTCAATCTTTTGGAAACTCAATGTTCAATGAAAATAAAATCTATTTGTTCTGATAATGCTCCGGAACTGTCTTTCAGTTTTCTTCTAGCTTCCTAAGGGATCTTCCATTAGTTTTCTTGTGTTGGGACTCCACAACAAAACTTTGTTGTTGAAAGAAAACATCAACATATCCTAAATGTGGTGAGACTCTCTTTTTTCATTCCAATATACCCATTCCATACTGGACTGATTGTATCAGGATAGCTATCTTCCTCATTAATCAAACTCCCTCACCTTTACTTCAAAACAAAACTCCTTATGAACTCCTCATGAAAAAGAAACCCGATTACATATTCTTAAAGGCTTTTGGGTGTCTCTGTTATGTGTCTACTTTTCCAAAGGATAAACACAAATTTTCTTCTCAGACATAAAGATCTATATTTTTGGGATATCCTTCTGGTTATAAGGGATATAAAGTACTAAATTTAGAAACTCATTCCATTTATATTTCACGGAATGTAGTTTTTCATGAAGAAGTTTTCCCATTTCATGGAACGGACACCTCCCAACAAAACATATTTCCTGACACCATCCTTCGTTTTCCTATTCTTGATTCAACACCATCACCATCTACTGATAATCTTTCACCACCACCACCACCAAATCCTGAAACCTTATCTGATAATAGTTGTTTCCCTGTAGAGTCTGAAACTACTACTAATGTGAATGCAAACAGACCTAAGCGAACCATAAGAGCTCTGTCCTATCTGCAGAACTATCATTGCAATCTTGTTCAACAATTACCTGTTCCTGCAGGTAATACAGCTCATCCCTTTTCTATGGTTCTTGACTACTCTTGTCTGAATGAACACTATCAGTCTTCTATACTGAATATATCTTCAGAGTCAGAACCAAAGAATTTCTTAGAGGCTGTGAAGAATGAGAAATGACATGAGCCTATGAATGAAGAACTACAAACTTGTGTGAAGACTGAAACTTTCTCAGTAGTCTCTCTGCTGCAAGGGAAATAACCTATAGGCTGCCGATGGGTTTACAAGATTAAACACAATCCGGATGGCACCGTGGATCGTTACAGAGCTCGTTTGGTGGCGAAAGGGTATACTCAACAAGAAGGTATCGACACATTTTCCCCAGTCACCAAGCTTTTAACTGTCAAACTATTACTGGATTTGGCTGCAAAGCTTGGCTGGTCTCTCACCCAGATGGACGTGACAAATGCCTTCTTGCACGGTGACCTTGAAGAGGAGATATACATGGAACTTCTTCCTGGTTATACTCCTCCTCTAGGAGAAACATTGCTACCAAATGCAGTCTCGAAACTTCATAAATCATTATATGGTTTAAAACAGGCTTCTCGCCAGTGGAATAAGAAGTTTTCAGATGTTCTTCTTCAGAATAGCTTTGTACAATCCGAGACAGAACATGCCTTATTTGTCAAAGTGGATGGTAACATTTTCATTGCTCTCTTAGTTTATAGCGACCAATGATGACAAGACTGTTTCAGATCTCAAAGCTATTCTTGCAAAGGCCTTCAAAATCAAAGATCTAGGTCCGGCGAAGTATTTCCTTGGTTTGGAGATAGCCAGAACAAGCAAGGGAATCTCTGTGTGTCAACGTAAATATGCCTTGGATCTTCTGGATTCTGTTGGTCTTCTTGGCTGTAAATCTGTTGCAACACCTATAGATCCAAACGTTCAGTTAAGTGAAGAAAGTGGTGAACTTCTCAAAGATCCAACAGTTTACAGAGCACTCATTGGTAAACTTATGTATCTCACCATTACCCAAGCAGATATTACATATGCAGTTCACAAGTTAAGTCAGTACTTATCACAACCAAGAACTGATCATCTTGAAGCTGCTCGTCATATAGTCCGATACTTGAAGGCATATCTCGGACGAGGATTGTTCTATTCTGCATCTTTTGAGATTCGATTACAAGCTTTTTCTGATACAGATTGGTCTTTGTGTCCTGATATGAGACGCTCAACCACAGGCTTTGTGTGTTTCTGAGAGACTCCATAATCTCTTGGAAGTCCAGAAAACAGAAAGTGGTTTCACGAAGTAGCACCGAGGCTGAGTATCGAGCCTTAACTGATACAACATGTGAACTTGTTTGGCTGACACAGTTACTTAAAGATCTCCACGTTAAGGTTACTGGTCCAGCAAACTTGTTTTGTGACAATACTTCAGCGATTCAGATTTCTTCAAACTCAGTCTTTCATGAAAGGACTAAACACATAGAGAATGACTTTCATCTCGTTCATGAAAGACTAAGAGCGGGATTCCTGAATATTCTTCATGTGACAACAGGAAATCAACTCGCTGTTTTGTTCACTAAGGCTCTTCAACCAAAGACATTCAAGCTCCTTCTATCAAGATATCAATTTTCAAGTCTTTTTCTTCTTCCTTGAAGAATTAGACTTGAGGGAGGGGTATTAGAGTGCAAAATATCAATGAAATATAATGAAAAACAAAGAGAAAAACGTAAAAATATTTATATTTAAACTTTAGATAGTTAAATTATATTATATATAAATATATATTGTAATTCAATATATCGGTTAGAATATGTCCTGCAAAAGAAACTGCACCAACAAAAACATAAGCCAGTTACTAATATACACATGTTGTGTAAAAAGAGAGAGAGAGAGAGAGAAAGAGCTACGTCCCTGTGGATCAGGTATGATCCCGCCAACACGAAGAACCTATTAGAGTGTAAACACTGATTTAGTTTCCTTTAGCTTAAACCGGTTGTATATAAGTGTATTATCACACACAATTATAAATTAACGCTTTTATTAATGAGATTTTTCTTTCTCTCTCTACAAGTTTTACAAAGATAATTGCTGCTAAGAATATTTTTTTGTTGTTGTATTTTTTGATCGCCGATATCTGTACGTATATCACTATATAGTCTTAGAGACTACGTTTCTTAAACTTTGATGTCTCCCCTTCGTCGTCATCTTCCATTAAGAAAGGGAACGCGGAACGTGAAACTAAAAGTGAGGAAAAAAAATTTAACAAAAAATGAATAATTTAATAAACAAGGAAACAGAAAACACAACCATGTCGTATTTCCACAGAAACTAATAAGCATCTAAACTATGTGTTTATCTCCATGGTGTGTGCCAAATAATAATGCTGCTTTCACCAAGAGCTAATAGCTCAACTGATAAAAATCTCAGGTAAAGTTTAGAGGTCGTTGGTTCGAATAGTTTTTGGAGAAAACTAATATTACGTAAATGTTGCGGTTTCGGATATGGGGAAATACGGGTTCGGCCCAAAACCTCTCAATAATGAAAAAAAAAAAAGAATAGTAATAATAATAATGCTGCTGCCTTCTGGAAGGAATTTCCTTGTGTGTTTTGGCAGATGTTCCCCTCAATTTCTATGTAACTCCTTCTCCCCTTTATTTAGGCAGAATTTCCTCATTTACGTCAATGTAGCAAATGAGATGTGATCTCTAACTTCATTATTTGTAAGAGTGCTGAAAACAGAATTGGCATTTAGATACAATGTAACAAACCTATTGCTTCTAAATGAGTATGCTCCTAAACCATCTCTAACACTGCCATATTTTGTAGGTCCAATATGGACTCACGTTCTTCAAAGTTTCTCCAAAAACCAAGCCAAACAACTTCCTAACTCTTCTATACAAACCAAAACAGAACCTGAGAAAATCTTTCCAGTTACTTTCATTGCAAGCAATAAGAGAAAATCCTCATAACATTAGGCATTTGTGAATTTTCTTTTTCAAGTCTTCTAGCAGAAACTGATGCAAAAAAATACAAAACGGAAAAAAAAACAACGAACAAACAAGAAAGCATCAAATCGTAACATACTGTATTGAATAATTCAATTGCACAACTTTAAACAACAACTTCTAGTCTTTCCCAGCAACCACCGTCTCCAAGTGTTTCTCCACCGCCTCATTGTTTGCCGGAGCCACCTCAAGCTTCACATCCACATTGTCAACATCACCGGGAAACCTATCGACAATAACATCAATCTCTACTCTTATCCTCTCGATCTCAGGTGAAACAGACATGGCTTCGTGTTTGTTCAAATCCAAGATATCTATAGTTAACGTATGAACAATATCCGAGTAACAAGGGACTTGGAACAAATCGAGAATCTGATATACGGCGGCTTGTATCTGATCCCTATCGCCACCGATGAGCCAATCTCTGTCGAACTCGTGAGCTTGATGAACGATTCGAGTTTCTAAATTGCATAAGATATCAGGATCTTCCTCTCCGTCTGAATCTGAATCTGGTTCAGGGGCTTGCCTGTAAACTACCTCGAAATCAAACAACAAGTTTGGCTTTTTGCGTAGATTGTTGTTGTCGGTGCGTTGGTTGTCTTTGTAGACTGGCTCGAAGTAGATGAGGGTGTCGGGTTCGTTATCGATATACAAAAACCTAACCATGGTTTGTGTTGGAAAAAAAGATTTATGGATTAGAAATTAAAGTCGATCTTTAGGGACTAATCGAATGATCCTTAGTTCTAGTTTATAGGGTGTGTTATATAATATGAGGGTTACTTCCTTTTTTCCCTTTTTTACGCGATTTCCTTTTCTTCAAATTTTCCTTTTTCTCAACCATTTTTGTGTTTTGTTTTTCTCATCTAATTAATTTTTTAGTTCACTTATATTTGTTGTAACGGTATTACGAAAACGACTACAATCTCAGCAAAGAAAAGAACTCAACACGCTCACGGCTCAACTATTACTAATTTTACAAAACATACACACACACACACAAAGAATAATCAATATATATTTCAATAATTTCCTAAATTTTGAAAACTGGATAAGATTTAGAAAAAAAAAAACAAAAATCACATATGCAGTATATATATGTCCATATTAATATGAAATTTTCATAGTGATTATCATATACAAATAGTGTTTGATGCTTCTTCTACATAGTGATTTTCTAGCTTTACGTCTAAGCAAAGCCATCGTTTAAAACCTCCCTTTTATTTAACCCTCACGTAGCCTCTCTCTTCTCCGCCTGTCCACGTGCACATCACGTGGAACGACGATCCCGTGCTTGCTACGCCGACGCTGCTTCTGCTTGCCATCTTTATGGACTCGGTGAAGTTGGTGGTAATAATGAGAATCATTGTGGTCTCGTCCAATCATCTTCTGCAACACGTCTTCTTGTTCTTGCCCATGACGATGGTGTTTGTGTCTGCGATGTTGATTATGCGTTTTGACACCATGACGAAGTTGGTGATGGTGATGGTGACGATGATGATGGCGGTTTCCGGCGGTTTCTCTGGTATGTAATAACCTATGGTGGTCTGAGTCAAAATGGTCTTCGTACCAATCGTAGAATGGATCAAAGAGTCCCTTTTGGTGCAAGAGCCAGAGAAGAACACAAGCTGTGAAGGTTTGTACATAAACAAAACCGTTAAGTTTTGTTATTATGTTAGCGATTTTTGCGGTTGCGGTTAAAACGCTTACTAGTTGGGAAGAGAGCTAGGAGGAGACCGAACATAACCATCCAGCTTAAGCAAACGTACTGAATGTGACAGCTGAAGTCAAAGAAACTCGAGCATTTGTTTCTGCATAGATTGATTCATTTTTCAAGTTATCATACCATTCTCAAAGAAAGTCAGGAGAAGAAATAGAAAATTGCGTAACCTGCAAGTGTCTCCGGTGATGAAATCGATTAAACCATTCACGAGTTTAGTCCACAACATCCTAATCGATTCAAAGAAACCTTTAGGATGAGTTTCTGGAATTTGAAATGGATTAGTAACCTGCAAGTTGAAGATAATAGTCACTGGATGATGATCCACATTGACATGAATCAAGAATCGATTGCAAACTGTTCAAGAACCTGAGTTCCATTGTCGAGAACGGTAGCTGTCGTGCTGAATTGACACTCGGCTCTGTCTACCTCGTTGAACTGAGAATCCTTAAGTATAGCTATACACACAACAAAGAAAAACAGAGCATTTTTCATGACTCAAAAACTTGAAAGAGAAGAGAGATTAGTAACTGTAATAGTAAAGTAGAATCACCTGTGCATATATATTTTGCAGCCTGGTCTTTAGTAGGGTACAACTTAAAAGATCGAGTTGTAACCTCCTTTGGTTTTATAATAAAGAATTGCTCCTGGAACAAATATCAACAACTTGTATCATCGCTCCTAACAATGCTTGTTCTTAAAAGAGTATCTAAGAGTTAGTTACCTCAACGAAAGCCACACCTTTGGAGCAATCGAACTGCACAGGAGGAAGCAAGACGCGATTAATATACCGAGGAACCTTCCATGCTATCAAACTAGCAAAGAAGTTTCAGTTTGAAAAAGTATTACCGTTAAGCTATAAGATGCTTCTACTTCACCAGTATTCTTGGTTGTGACTGCAGCAACTCCAAATTGTGTAAGTGCCTCGAAAGTCGGTATAGCTATGTTTAGGATCTTACCAGGGCTCCTGCAACCACAAGAAACGTTTACTTATTTTACTATATATATATATATATATATAGCAGAATTTCGGAAACCGTTGACGATGTTATACCTCTGGAAAACGTATTCAATATCATCAGCTCTTAGTTCTATCAATAGATTTGTGTTGAGTGTTTCTGTAACTCCAATTGAGAACGAGCGAGGCCCCGTGTTCTGTACCATGTAATAGAAAAATCCAATAAGCCAACAACAAATATTTATGTTCAAAACTGGTTTAGATACTAGGAAAAGATGAAACATAACTGGATGTTGATTGATCCTCTCAAATCTTCCTTCCAGTCCATATAGAGGAAGTTGGTGCCGGTTCATCCGGTTAGCATCTGCCTGAAACAGACGTGTTTATATTGGTGAAACAATGTCGCAATAAAGTGCTCGATACAAGCTGTAACTTAAAAGAATAGAGACCTCGCGGAAGTTCCATAGTTGATTATGCAAGCAACTCCAATATGGTGCAGAGCAGAAATCTGGTTGGCTGTTGAAAGCTTCATAGCCAACACCAATTTTGTTACATTCTAGACCATCCAATGTGAATCTCACTCTCTCAAGAAGCATCCACATTGAGTAGTTTCCACCTAAGTTCACTGGTTGTCCCTCTGCAGCCCCCTTTTTGTCAAACCGGAAAATTCTTTTAGCATTATAATGATACAGCCGCGAGTTAGTGACTTTAAATGGATAATAAGCAAATTACCTCTCTTGGGATTACAAGATAGAAGTCCTCGAAAGAAGGAATGTTTGTGTAACCAGCAAAGTCTCCTATGAGATTAGCCTTGAGAAAATTATCATTTGCAGTAGCTGTCCTGTTTTCAGGACCAATGATCACTTCCTGCGTTAAGAAAAAGTATCGTAACTCGGAACACAACCGGCTTGGAAACCGAAGAAAAAGAGAGATAAGTGAAAGTAAACATACTGAAACTCTAGTTCCTGTCTTCAACTCAACTCGAACACTAAACCCTAGTGACCGTTTCCCAATTCCAAAAACATGGAACCTAGAAGGGAAGATATCAAGAAGCTTAAGTGTGCAAAACCATGATTGTTTCAAGATAAATCATATTTTTCATCTTGAAGATAAGATCAGAACGTACCAGTCACCTGGAAAACGAAGGCAATGCGCAGTGTTTGCTTTACCTTTGATCATCTTCTCAACTAATCAAATCCAAGAGAAGAAAATGAGAGTCCAAGTACATTCATCAAAAGAAACAAGAGGAAGTGAATGTTAAACGCACATATATCTCCACAAGATGAAGGCATTCTTCTCTGCGGTCCACATGGACAACACACTGGCTGTGTCTGTTCAAGAACGTTACCTTTTTCATCTCGTAACCTGTCCCAATACATCGTAGAAAAAAACAGAGATAATTAAACACATACGTTAGAAATAACAAGAAAAGAGATTACAACAAAAAAAATCCTTGCCTCTCGCATATTTCTACAATATCTGGTCCAGCATCAGGCTCACACTTTCGAGTCGTAACGTGAAACTCTTGTGGCTTGTAAGGCACATCCTACAGCAAAAACTAGACTCATTCATGGCAAAAATCATCAAGACTAATAATATATATGATATCAAGATTCGTACCCTAATGTAAGTAAGATCATAGAGAGCATAAGCTGCTGATTTGTTCACTGTTATGACCGGTGGGATCCGTACGGTCTGCATATTACTACTCGAATTATCTTCCACTTCGACGATTTCCGCTACAATCGAAGCCTCTCCTCCGCTCTTGAAACGAGAAAAATGTTATTGATGAACACAAGTTTTGTATATACAATACAGCAACAAAATATTGGGGAGAAAAAAAAAAGGCTTACGGATCCGCTGGGAACAGCGAGGTTCAAAATGATTTTAGTTGTGCAATTGAGATTTCCTGAATCGGATGTTTTCTCACACTTTTCGAGCTTTGATTTCGACAGAATCTGAGTCCCTTCGACTTCGTTGAACACTACGGGAAGGAGGAGATTTCCGACGATTACAAAAGCAATCACCATCGCGTGGTGCTCCATTTTTTGAAACTGTAAACACGAAAGTTGCTGAATTTGGAGAACGAATTGACGAAATCACTAAACCCATGGCTTTGATTTCAAATTAAAGTCTAGGGCTGAATCCGAAGGAAATCAATACTGACATTTACACAATAATTGTAAGACAATGACAGAAATTGAAAATTTGGCGACGGTTGTTTACGAGAAGAGAGTTTCTCTTGTACCTCGGAGATGATTAAGAAGACGAGGCCGCAAAAATAGCAATCGCTAGGAAGCCAATCATTGACGAAAGATCAACCGACGTAATCGAAGGAGGAAGAAGATAGCAAAAATCCGGTGGGAGAAGAGAAAGAGCAGTAAAATCTGAAACAAAAAAAAAGAAATTTGAGTGAACGAAAATGGTGGTTTCTATGTTTTTTGAAAAAAGATGGTGTTTTTTGAAGAAGAACTGCTTCCTCTTCTCTTTTTTTTTTTTCTTTTCTTCTTTTCCAACGGTTGCTTTGGTTTTCTAATCCGTATCCCGGAATGGTTAGACCGTTAGCTTTAACCGTCAATTACTAGCGACCCGACGTAAACCAAGGCAATGACTTTGACATTCATTTTTATTGTTTCTTTTTAGTAATGAGGATAGGCCTGTAGAAACCTATATAATAGGAACCAAAGAATTTCGCTTCAGTTTTGATCGCTTCGGGTCGGTTTGGATAATTTTTCCCATCTGAATTATCTGGCTTGTTAAGCTCTGTTTAATTTGTACTAGGATAGTACCGGTGCTGTGCACGGATTATTGTTATTATTTAAATCGATATCATTAAGTAGTATAATGACTTGTGTAGTAATTAGTAATTGATATATTTGAGTATTTTGTAGTATTTGATAGAAATTTTTATTTCTAGCGTATGCTTTTTTTAGTTAAAAGATTAAATGTGAGATATGAATTTTATATATGTAAAATAAAGGTTTGAATTTTTTTTTAATTTATTGTTATTTTTATTTTTTTATACATATATATATATATATGTTGTGAAGATTTTTGATGGTTTATGTGTTTTCTTGAATCTAAACTGTATATTCAAATATTTCTTTTTACTATTTTTATTGTTACTACTTATTTGGTGTAAGATTTTAAAGATTTATATGTTATTATACCTATGAAACTTTGAAAATTGCTACTTTCTTTTAAAATATTTAAAATTTTAGTTTATTTCACTATGGTTTAAAATTCTTAAGATTTTTGTAAAAATTCATAAAAAAAATAACTTGTTCACATTTTCATTCATGAGATGATTTATTTTTTAAAAGCTAGCAAAATAATTTTTTATCATTAACAAAAATTGTTATTTATTATTTTAAAATCAAATTCTCGGCAATATTTGTATAGAAATACATTAGCAGCATAAAGTTAAAATCCCTATCAATTACCTTTTTATGAGGATCTTTAAATTGAGAATAATTGTAAGAATAAAACATCAACAAAAATTTATAAATCAAGATTAATTTAATCACTTAGAATTTTACCCGTATGATAGTTATATATTAGAACCATTCAAACAATTCAACTATTGTCATATGTCTCTTACTTATACTCGAGTTTGTAACTTCGTCTATCCATCCCTCTCCATCCCTCTCTTCCTCTGTCCATATGTCCTTCTCTCCCTCCTCCCTCCTTCCCTTTCTCATTCCTTCCATCGTTTCCTCTTTCTCCCACTCTCTCTAGATTATAGACGCGTGTTGTACACAGATTTATTGTTATTTTTAATTTTTTATGTATATAGATGTAAATATTTTAAAATAGTATATATATTATTAAGGCATTTTTTGTCAGTTTTTTTCTCTTTTTATTCATAAATACTATTTTACTAATGTTTGATTCTTAACTTCTTTTCAATATTGTTATCAAACTAACTTACTTTTGTTTATAAACACTACAACATTTTCTGAATAGTAACTTAACGGCATGAGATTAAAGTTCGTACTAATTGCCACTCTATCAAATATAGGAACTTACAGCTTAGAATAATTATAAGGGTGATACATTAGCAAAAAAATATTAAATCAAGATCATATTAATAGTTTGGGAAACTAGGTGAGGTGTGGTAGCAACAATCCAAGAGCAAATTAACTTGATAAAACAATATTATTTTATTGGTGAGAAAATATCTCTTATCCCCTCATCACAACAACACGATAACATGTTTTTGAACGTTAGCGGATACCGATTTTTGCTTGCTTCTTTTTTTCTGACAAACAGCAATTTCTCTTTCTTACTTTTTTTCAAATTTTGAATTACAAATCATTTCAGCACGTTAGCTTTACTTTTCTTCTCACATTATCGGTTCACCCATTTCTTCTCTCTCATCATATATCCCCTATCTCTGTTCACTTTTTTCCCGCGAGGCAGAGAGATTCTTTCCGGCGAACCAGAGTCATTTTTTAAGGCGATCTAAACCATGGGTTTGAAAGCGTTTGCTTCGACGATGATTTGTGGAAGATAATTTGTCGATTTTCACCTCGTTGAAGTTTTTGGGTTTGCTCTTCAATTCTCGCTTTTCGTCATCGTCTTTTTTATAGATCTACGAATCCCAGGGTATCTGGTCATCGTCTATTAGTAGTTGACTATATTTTTTTCGTTTTGTGTTCAGTGATATGTGAAATATCCGACTATCCGAGCCGGACCCCTTTGCAAATGAATTGTTTCCCCAGATCCGCGATGCACTGGTTGATATTTTTGAAAGAGTTGCAAGGGAGTCTGCAAAAAACGCTTGCTCGTTTGCTTGTTCATGTAAGTTCCTCAACGAAACTTTCAAGGAACCATCTGTCATTAGGGTTTTAAACCTTAGTGCCTTTGTCCAAAACCCCAGTTTGATGAAGCAGTACCCTATGTTCTTTGAGTCAGCGATTAGTGCCGGTAATCCGACATCATTGTACCTCCGCGGCATGACCAAGATTACAGTTGATAACGATATTGAGGGTTCCGTTACGTTTTTTAGCAAAGCGTCAAAAGCTGGAGTCGATACTGTGACTTTAATGCTTGCAATTTGCGGCACTGCATACGGTCTTTATGAGGGAGGGCTGGTAATCCTTGACTGTATAGTTGGTTGGAAGTCACGAATGGAGTACATGGAAGGGATTGCAAATCAAGTGATGGATTTGATCGAAGCTTGCAAAGAGCCGACGGTGCACGGGATCTTTCCCAATCCTTTTTCCGAATTCCCCATATGCGGATTCAAGCATCAAATGATCTGTGAGTATTGCTACCTGTATGTTTACTACCAGCTGGCAAAGAGTGTTTTCAATCGATAGACGACTATGTTGTAATGGAATACTAGTAGTCAGCTATTATATTTTTTTAGTTGTTAACTTGATGTTATTAAGTTTATGTGGTAGTTGAATATTGGTTCCGTGATTTCTGGGTAAAATCTCTTTTTTTTTGGTTTTTGAATGGTTTGAATTCGTAACTCACTTTTAAATACATGAGGGTATTTTGTGTCAACTGTTTTGGTAACCGTTAAATTTATTTTTGTAAAAAAAAAAACTTCCACAAAACCACCCTTAAATACCCCTCATCATGTCACGTCTGCCATTTTCTTTACTTTTCTCTCTCACCTCCGAACTTCTTCAGCAACCGCCCTGCCCTTTTATTTTCTTTGTTGGCTCTGTTGTCGTTACACTTGTATTCTCACCGTCACCCTCCATTGTAACCTATTTCAATTTCCGCCTGACATCGACGTTGCTTACCCGGTGAACTTCGATTTCGTCCGGCGAAATCCAAGAAATCCGCCGATTCGCGCTCGCCGTCGTCTTTCTTTGATTTAGGTATAACAATGTCCGCCGTTCTCTTTTCTCCCGCATATCTTTTCTTAATTAAGTTCATCCTATTCGTACAGTTGAGATCTCTTATTTTTCTCTGTTTTTCGAATATGAAAATGAATTCTATGTCAGGCACCGATAACAAACTATTAGTACGCAATTACTCGGTCTGTTATTTTGTTGAAATGTTTATGTTTTTTTATTGAAGTGCTCGCAGATCTGTCATGGGGTGGCTAGTTATTCGTCTTTTTGTAATTGATTAGGGTTTCTCCCTTGGCTTAGGGTCATGATTGTCTTTTCACATCAGGGTTTAGATCTAATGGTACTGTTCTAATAATAATCAACTACCCATAAACAAATTTGTAAAAAAGTTGTTTAGATCTCAGCGTCGGTGTGTATTTCGTTTTTTTGTACTCGAGTAGGGTTTCAGTTTTTCTTCCCTTTACTATTATAATAGCCTTTTTAGTTAGTCAACCTCTAAATGTACTTGATCATACTAGACTATTAATAAAAGATAAATACCTATGCATAATCAACTACTTTCAATTAAAACTGTTTTTCTTGGTTGTTTTCAGGGCAGCGATGAGTAGCTTGCCGGATAGGCTTTTCGCCTTAGGCAATGAACCTGAGAATAAGAAGGTCAACACTTACTTTCAGCTGAATTATATTGACACAATCACTTGCGCTTTGGAAGAAAACCATTTGGAGAAGCTTTCCTCTTCCCAATTTGGCAAAATTATAGAGACTGGAAACAAGATTGCATCTTCAGTGAGATTCCTGCATTTCATGTTATCTAGGCAGTTGGTTACAGCAAAAAAGAAAGAGTTGTGGTGTCTCTTTGCTGGTCAGCCCATTCGGTTCTCAATTCGTGAGTTTGCAATTGCAACCGGCTTGGATTGTTCGAAGTTGCCTCCACAGCTTGAATTAAACGAGAGGAAGCTGAGTAAGCAGACGAAGAAGTTATTTGGGTCAAGTGCGAATGCAACTCCTGGGTGGATAGCGAGCACACTTTTTGGCAGACCATACAAGGACAAGGAAACCAGATTTAAGCTCGCATGCCTACTCCTCATAGATGGTGTGTTGTGTCCCACGTCTAGAAACGCTAGGATAAGTGGCGACCACATCTTAATGGTTAAAGATGTTGACAACTTCCTTGAATATCCTTCGGGTCGTAAATCATTTGATTTGACCATGGACTGCATCAGAAGTAAGACAGATACCCCTTCAACTTTCCTCCAGCCCACTTGTGCTTTTCAGGGTTTTTACATGCACTACAGATGGTGATTTTGGAGTGTGCGCCTACTATATTGGTGAAGGATGTTAAGGGTAAGGGTAAATCGGTAGGGGACGATGAAGACGAAGAGGATGAATCCCCACTTATACGTCCTGGTGGTGCGAAGCCAGTGAACATATCAATGCCTCATGTGAAGCATCTTGATAAGGACGTAAAGGTACCACTTAATCCAAACTACATAATAGTCACTTACATTTCATTGCATACATACGATGGTAGACATATAATTGTAGTCGTCTACTAATAGTCACACACTACTTCTCATTCATAATTTTACAATACTGCCTTATATGTCTACTACTATGGAGTGAGGATATTCAGACTAGTATACATTAGTAGTTGATTACATGTAGGTGTATTCATGTAACTGTTTACCTAACATTTTCTTGGTATATCAGGTGAAGGTGAAAGCAATATTACCTGACGATGAGAACTTGTTGGCTGAAACCGAGTTGGGAATTGATGATGATGTCTCCGACGAACGCGTAGACAACTTGCTTGCAGCAATTTCACGAGGTGAAAAATTTACCAGGAAATCATGGAATGGTGGTCAAAAAGCAAGCATTCATAAAAAGCAGGAGAAGACCCAAGCCTCATCTTCCCGTAGCACACCTTGTAAGGGTCCTTTAAAGGATTCGGATTCCTCTGCAATTCTGGACAAGCTCGATGTTTCACAGTCTTTGATTTTACAGGAGATCAAAAACCTCAGAGAATATTTCGGCAATCTCCGTTCAGAAGTTTCCACAGCATTGTCGAACTTCAAGCTTGCAATTTCTGATATACAAGGGCATAAACCGAAAGAAACTACAACCGGGGAACCAAAAAAATCTGCCACCGGGCAAGCAAAGAAATATTCCACCGGGAAACTGAAGAAATCGATGCCTACGAAATCTACACCTTCCATTCGAATTCAGCCGAAGAAATCCACCCATGTAAGGTTTGCCCAGGTTTCTTCTTCTTCTGAAGAAACAAAGTCATCTGAATCAAAGGAGATCGCAGCTAAGGGCAACCCTTCGGACAGTGGTGACAGTGATAGTGATGACGGCATTGATAGTTACGTTGGTGAGGAGAATGTCGAAGGTTAGTTATATATTAGTAATTCATCACTAGTAATCATTTACTTCATAAGAGGATCATGTTGTAGGTTTAGAGCATGATGGGGAAGGCAACGAAAACGAAGGAACCCTGGACGATCATAACGACGCAGATGGTTAGTTGTATACTTATAGATAACTAATTAGTATTCAGCTACTATTATACAATTCTTAGATGAATTTTCAATTTCTCATATTTATGTATTCAATCAGAAGAAGTGAATCTCGACGGTGAAGAAATTGGAAACGGAGGTCAAAATGACGACCAGAATGACGATGATGGTTAGTACTTACGACTATTACCCGATTATTAGTGTATGTTCACTTCTCATTTCTATGTATTGATTCAGATGTTGAAGGACTAGAGGATGGTGGTAATAGAGTGCATGATGGTGATGTAAATGCACCAGCTGACCAGGCGAAGTCCCTGATGGACATGGGTGGTTCTTCTGCTTTGGACCAGGCGACCATCGCTCATAACCAGATAGCTTCGGTTCTTTCGGACTTAGCGTAGGACCCTTACGAGGTAAGTAGTTGATTACTAGTAATCAATTACCTTGTAGTGTGTGATTACTAGTAATCAATTACCTTGTAGTGTGTGGTCAACTACTGCCTTACCTGTAAACTTCTATTGTAGGCATATACCACAGTTCCTTCCACCGCCGTCAACTCTGGGATTCCCTTTACGGATCAGGTTTTTGTCGAGGATGACCAAATTAGAGACGTAAACCCTTCACCTGCGAAGTCTGAAAAAACATTAGAAGATCGTGCAATTGTTAGTAAGCTTTTATATGTTTGATAGTCGTATAATACATAAACAGATGTAACGTAGTCATCTTTTTAATTTGTAGGTTAATGAGCACCTTAAAGCAGTGGAAGAGCCCCCTATCCCAGCACAAACCAGCAGTGAACTCCCACAACAAGGAAAGGTTGGTGCTCGTCGTCAGATAATTAACTATCAATAGCTAACTGTGTCAGTAAACGACTAGGTCTTATTGGTGGTAGGTTACAGATGTCGTTAAGCCCGTCACAAATAGCGAAATCCCTGAAGGAGTTGAACCTCCTGTTTGGTCACTCGGTCTTACACAAGAAGACAAAAACATGTAGAGGCCAATAAGATTCCAAGCGAGGAGCCCCAGCCGGTCCGTAAAAGTAAACGAGTAGCCCAACCTTCAACCGCAATGTCAGACTACGTGGTTTCACGCCCAAAACGATCTAAAAAGAATGACAATTTGGTGGACTTGAGTCATTTCTTCGCGCCTCCCACTCATGAGCAACTCACTTTCCTACAAACAAGGATGGAAGAAAGTCGGTAAGTAAACAACTTTTGATTAATTTCGAAAGCACGTAATGCGTATACATATTTATGTGTTTCATTTGTGTAGGAAATTAGATTGCTGGGATGGGATATTCCTCTCGGTCAACATACTGAAAGAGATAGCATCCCTGAAATTCCCTATATCTTCCGTGGTAATCATTTACTAGTAGTTTATTAATAGCAACTACTAATTTCCGTTTACATATACCTGAATACTAACCAACTCTATCTCTCTTGCTAGTCTATTGACAGTGTCATTAGGTTGTTCCAGCATCAGCTTTCTGAAATTAACGATACCCATTCGAAAGTTGACTTCGTTGAGTATGCCTTCATTCACCAGATTGAAGAGCTCTACCCAAAGTTCATAAACCCGCCCAAAAAGAAACCAGTCACACTACCGACTGGTGCTCTTGAATATGTCAAATCTAGGCGGTCATGGTACACTCAGATTGGTCGTATTTACTGTCCCTACGAAGTGGACTGTAAATACTGGGTTGGGTTATGCATCGATTTTGAGAGCCATGAGATATTTGTCCTCAATCCTTACGAGACTTTTAAGGAGATGAAGCTTAAGACCAGTGTCTCCCCTCTCGCTCAGTGCCTACCTCATTTCATTAGGAAAGTCGCCTACAATACCGAGATGAAATCAGACACCCTTATCCCGTTCACGATCAAGGTCGTCAAACCGATGTTCCAGACACTGAACCTAGGTATGTTATCATTTTCGTGAGATATTAACATACAAGTATTCGATTATATATATATATATATATATATATATATATCTGATTACAAGTAGTTATCTATATTAGTATCACTTACAAATAGCTAACTTTTTTTTTGCAGGGCTACTTGGCTTGATGACGCTCATGTCCCTTCAATTACACTCTTCCAATATATCACTTGATATGGCTATCGGTGATGATGTTGTTCGTGATGCCGCTCTTAAATTTGCTTACGATCTCCATTGCCTGATCGAACCGTCTTTGTGATTCGCAATCATGTCAAACTGACGTACTTTGTACGCTATTATTGTCCTTTTTTTTAAAGCTGTTGGAATGTTGTTATCTTGTTGGATGTTTGAATGTTTATTGACACCTTAACAACTTGAACTTATTTGTGGTATTATGAAGGTACTACTTATTTGTATTTCAATAACTACGATGAACTCATATTAGCTAAGCTTGTTTTTTAGAGTACGTACTTAATAGTATATAACTACTGTAGTAGACAATTACTAGTGGTCGTCCATGTATTATGAATAGATCCACGTTTGTTTTAGTAGACCTACTATGGCAATTCATGAGGATCACTTTAGAACTACCTATTTTAGAATACTTAGTTGACTATTAGTATTCCAAATATTATACTATTCATCCAATTCATGAGGATCAATTTAGAACTAACCACTTGGAATAAATAGTTGACTATTAGTATACCAAATATAATACTATCCTATCCACCCTATGCAAAGTAGTCTAAATAGATGAGGAATATGAAGTCTCCAAATCCAACAATCATAGAATATTAAGGGTTAAGAGTATTCGAGGCAATACAAATCCAAACAAATCCGCAGGAATTAAGTCATAAAAATAGAGATGCATTGTATCAAAAAAAACCTTCAAACTTGCAAAACAAGATTTAGGCCCTACACATAAACAAGATGTAGTCCCTTCACTTGAAATTTGAAGTGCATCATATCCGAGTCTCCCTGCCTCATTCCAAAACAACACCCGACATAATCATTACTTATCCTTGACCGGGAGCTTGCAAGAAGCTCTGTTGTGACCCTTACCCTGACACCTGCTGCAAATCCTTGCCGCTTTCCTCGCACGCCTCTGTTTCATTCATAATTAATTAGTTCTCTTGAAATTTACATAGTTTTCTACAACATAGTTGGATACATTTTTCATAATTTTACCTTAAACTCTCCTATTGATGGTATCCTGATTTTCCTTGGACGCCCCGGTGGCCTGCGCATTAATGGAGGAAGCAACTCGTTACCAAAACTCACCGGTGTTGGCACTGGGTGAAAAACTCCGTCATAAAGGGCTCTCCGGTATTCTGTTGTGTACACCTCTCCCACAAGCTCATTTATCTCAATTCCGCAGCAAGAACTAGCAGCAATTGCATGGCGGCATGGAATGAGTAGCATTTGGAACTCCCTGTAGCTGCATGACTTGGAAACTAGGTTCACTTCGAACCGATCCCCCTTCCTGTTGTAAACTTCGTATTCATCGCTTCCCACAGCAACCACCTTCATTACATGATAATTAGCTACCAATAGTCGGTTACAAGTAAATTGAAGACAATATTCGTCTACGTTTACCTTCAGTTCGGTGCAACCATAGAAGTTGTCGTCCAAAATATCACAAACTTTGGGATTTACAGCATGATTTTCAGCGGCTGAGACACTTTTCCTCCTTACAAACCAACTGATAAGACTCATTCTAATCTCCTCAAGCATTGAAATTAGGGAGAACTCACGACATTCCTTCAATACCTTGTTCAGAGATTCGGCTACATTAGTAGTCATGATGTTGTAGCGGTCGCCAATGCAGTATGCCCGAGTCCAGTGTGGTAATCCCATATCCAATAAATACTTGGCGCAACGAGGGTTGATGTTTTCCAAATCTTTAAATATTTGCAGAAACTCGTGCACTGTGTAAGCTTTTGCAGCTCTGACCATAAGAGATGGAAGACGGCTCTCTTTGAATCGGGTTGTAATGTTCCTCGCCAGATGAACTAGACAAGCACCATGGCCCGCGGATAGGTACACCTACATACACCAGGTACATAGTTAACTATATATATGCGTATATATAATTATAACTATTAATAAATATAGTTGTCTACGACAAACCTTTTGAAGCCCTGAGTATATGCTACCATGACGGTCAGATATAAACATAACGGCGCTGCTATCCGGAATGATGGTTTTCAAGCAATTGAAAAACCATTCATAAGATGCATCGTTCTCACTGTCTACAACAGCATATGCTATCGGGTAGATCTGAAAGTTTCCGTCTTGAGCACTTGCACAAATCAGACAGCCACCATATCGGCTCACAAGATGTGCCCCTGATATGAAAGTATGATAACATAATTTATGACTATTCCATAGTCAACTATCAAAGTAAGTATCTATTTATAATCGAATACTCACCATCGATCAGAACCACGGGCCGCAAGTATTTCAGTCCAGTAACTGAAGCAGCAAACGCGATGAAAAGGTACTTGCATGAACCTTTGGCAACCATTCTTGTCTGCAACGAACTCTGTCATGCAAACCATTCCCGGGTTGGAGCTCTGAAGATTTTCCAGGTACGAAGGGAGCAAGGCAAAACTTCCAGAAACTGATCCAAATGCTTTTTCAAGTGCCAGTTCCCTGCACCTGCACGCCTTCCAGTAAGAGATGTTAACCTACGTAATACAAGTAGAGAATTACTGTCTGATATAAGAGAAACAGATAACTACGGGTAGTTAACTACAGAAGACTAATAATGTCATCTAGATAGGAAATTGTGGTGTCAGCCATAAACAAGAACTGGAACTCTTGGAGCATTATGCGCTGAATTTCTATTGGACCTGGTCCTCTCTGCCCTGCCACAAATCTTGTGGAGATCAGCTCACCAATCACTTGCGTTGTTGCTTGCTTGTGATACTTCCAGCGGTCTTCAATGGGGCATGTGTGTTTAAGTGTGGCCTTCTTAATCTGGAAGTTCCCTGTCGCATCCATCAGGGAAGCATAGACCCGCCATGAATAGCTGTGATTAACGCACATAAACTCCATATAGCTTGGAGTTGAGCGTGGAGTCCTAAAATGGAATTTTCTGTTGATGGCATGGATGGCCATCTTAATCTTGCACTCCACTTTGTTACGGAAAATCCTGCCTACAAAAATTTCGTCCCCCTCGTACCGCACGTCCCTCAAGGCACTGTCAATTCCTGCATTATCAAAGGCACAATCTGATCATTTCCTAAAGTAATTTACTACTTGGTAAATACTCATATATAAACAACTACTCACCGTCGTCGGAAATTTCATCAACGATTGGGGGAGCATCTCTCCCAAACATGGCAAAGAACTCCTCTGTCTCATTGAAGACCCCATTAATGGTCTCGTCGGCGCAGCTGTAATGGGCAGAATGATTGCTACATTCCCCTTTTTGTGGGCCTTGTTTTTTTGGTTCGTTTTCTTGCACTTTTTCCTTTCCTTTTGCACGTCTTTTTGCCACCTCATCTTCATCCTTCACCGCGTCTTCATCATCCTTGGCAGACTCGTTGAACTCTTCGTTCCTCCCCTCAACCGAGTCATCACACTCACCAGAAAGTTCAACTCTCCATCCAGACGTATTACATGCTCTTCCACATTGTCACCGCCCTCATCTTTCTCACCAGATTCTCCTGTATGCATCATGACTTAAAATATCAGCTTCTTAAAGGTAAATCAGTTGCATAGTATACACCTACTTATAGTGGTCAGTGATAATTATTTACTAGAAATATATTACAATGTGATTCAAACTTTATAACCAACATCGTCAACGTCTACTTATAGTTCGGGCATATTTAGTGTAATAGACAACTACGTGATAAACAGCTAGTTCTAAGATCTTACTCTCTTTGTTTTCATCGCTTTTATCTTTTCCACGAGATTCTCCTGCACAGAACATTATTTAAAGAATGAGATCGTTCTAACTACTTTATGAACAGCTAGTTCTAACTACTTTATAAATGTATTAGTATAAATACTTTGATGTAATAGTTAACTACGTTATAGGCAACTAGTTATAATATATTACCCTCGTTATCTGCTTTGTTATCGGCTGATTTTTCGTAGACAACCATAGCCGTCTCCCTTGTTGCAGACTCCCTCACACCCTCACTCAGCTGGTCATCATCCGCGGTGATGCAGAGATTCAGCTGATCAATCTCGGACCTCATTTCAACAAAAAGGGCGACATCATCGTCCGTTCATATGGAGACTGGTGGTGCGTCCCTCCCGTCGTCCATAAGCATGTACACGGGCCACTGGTAAGTAAGAGCCACGCCGACGTCCTCGTGTATCCCCATTTTCTCTTTAGTCAGCTTCACCACTTCCTTGAACTTCATCCTTGAGCTGAGAAAAACAGCTTGGCTATTCCCTGTGCGCTCCGTCAGAAAAGTCCACACTCCATTCCCGCCTTCGAACCATTTCCCCCTCACAAGCAAAACCATTTGTCTCCCCAACATCTATATTCACCACAAAGAAAACAAACACTAAATAACTAACTACTAACTAAAAAGTAGTCACAATATTCATCTAGGAGTAGTCATACCTTCGTTAATCTTCTTTGTAGACAAACCCTAACAATGTTGTTTACTAGCGGCGGTGTAGGATGTTATGAGCTTCTGTCTATTTATGTGACCCACCCAAGACCACACGCTATAAACTTATCCGTACAAACCCATACTAAACGACAAAGCTTCGAGTTTGGGTTTACAAAGTAAAACCAAAAGTTTCGCTTGTTAGTTTTTGGGAAGCATGGTAGCGTGTCAAAATGTGTTAACTGGTGTGGTCCCATCCGGCGTCAGAAAAATTGCTGTTTTCTTTTCGGGGACAAGGGTTAGCTCGTCATTTCCACCTGCTTTTTTTCATTGACTTCTGCTATAGACATAATTGGCTGCCTTTCGCTGGTAGTCTCCTAATTGATGCCTCCAAACATAATATTGATGCAAATCACCCTAATAGTTTAGAGTTTTTTTTCCATATGGTGAATATATATTAGAACTGTTCAAAATCTCAACTCAACTATCGTCATCAGTCTCTTGCTGATACTCTGATTTCTAATTAAACTACATATTCTCGGTTTCATTATAATCTCATATCTAAACCATTTCTGTTGAACTATATTTACTATTTTCTATGTGACAGTTTAAAACTTTTACTTTATCATAAAATATTTAAAATTTAATTTATCCAATCAAACTTTTTTTATTAAAGCATCCAAAAAAAATTTAACACTTTTAACTGTTACTACTCTACTAAAATTTCACACAGTCTAACTTAGTCTGGATCCTACAATTGAATTTTTTTTAAAAAATAAACAAAAGAGGGATTCTTTTTTTTAATCATTATCCATTATTTTAGAGTCAAATTATGTACAACATTATCTTCAAAGTACCTTAGTATCTTAAAGTTAAAGTCACCACAAATCACCTCTCTATCAGACCGAAGAAAATTCAGCTAAATAAGAGTAGGATTGACACATCATAAGAGTTTTTAAAAGAAAGCTTAAACTAATCTTTTAGACTTTTATCCATATGATGAACTTACATTTGAACGGTTCAAAATTTTAACTCAACTATCATGTCATCTGTTTCTTGCTTTACTCGATTTTATACTTAAATTCCATCTTATACAACATATTTACAAAATTCAAAGACATTCAAATTACTAATACAAAAGTATTAGCTAGACCTAATTACCGTCTTTAAAAATAAATTACTTATTTGACTTTTTTGGCTTCCGAATAGCTTGATATTTTAGCTATATTTGAAACGGCATTAGAATTAGTACACCATTAGAATTAGTATAAAAAATATATTAAATAAATTCCACGATGTATATTAGGTTTAGCTATAAGACAAAAAAAGTCAAACAGTTTTACAATGAAAATGTCTCATTTTTAATACATATAAGAATGAGAATAACTTTATATATATATAATTATTTTATCATCTTGAGATTATATTGTATACGTAAAATAACACATTTTAAGTAATCTCATTTAGACAATCTAAATAGTTTAGATAAAATTGTGTTTTTGAATATGAATAATCAAATTTACCATATGTACTAATTTTTTTTTTTTCAAGTGCATACAAATGCATATATTAGTCCACTGGTATTTGCATCAATTCATCAAAGGATTTCAAATACTAAACGATATAATCTTCAGATAAGATCAATATATAAAACCCAAAATTTGATACAAAATAATAAAAAATAAAGTATTTCCATAATTCAAAAACTTTCTTAGGCCTTGTAAAGGTGGCTAGGCGCATAAAACTTGGTATTTGTCATTTTGTCACAAAACTTGGTTTATTTCTAATGAACTTAGAAATAATTGTTAAATATTTTGAGGATAGTCATTATTATAAACATAATTAACGTCAAATATTTTAAAAGATATTGTTAATGACAGATTTTTATCTCCTGTTTAAAAGATTTAAATTTGATTTAGTTTTCTTATTTTTCAGATTTTTAACCACAAAAGATGCAAATATGCTTTACAATTTCCTAGTTTTTGAAATATTTAACAGATCTAATAATCGTGCTACTTTTACCTCAGTTTTTTTGTTAACTTCTAAATATATTATTTATTCATTCCCTAATTGAAAAAATTTTAATTTTTTATTAGATAGCTCTAAAATTATGACAGAATGTTTTATACATAAAAAAAATAGAGAACCTGGTCAATTATTATTCTATTCCTATGTATGACAGCTTGGCTAACGAAATAAGCAACATACCTTTAAATTTTTCGATGTATCAACGAATATGTAAGTCTATAAACTATAGATTAAAGCAATTCACCACTGTTGTAATTATAAGAATAAATATGTTGATGTGTGTTTAAGGAAGAAAACTCTTAGAAACAAAACAAATCAAATCCTCATACGATCGAAGCAACAAAATACAATTCAAATTTTTACAACCAAAAAAAAAAATACAATCCGAATGTGGAAGTCATATTGAGACCATAATATTTGTTTTTAATCAAAATACTGAGACCATAAATAAACAAAAGAAACTTTAAGACAAAAAATACAAAAAAAAACAAATAAACGGCTATTTTCTCAGCAGCGTCTTGAGCTTTAACCCTTTAATTACTCAGAATGAAGAAACAACAGCCATAGTTATTATCAAGAGAAGCAGCTTTTTTCGATTCTCATGAGGATTGGGATTTCCATCTCTTTGTTTTTGCTTCTCTGTATTCATCGTCTTTGCCACCAAGTCCATATTTTCCGATAGATGTTGGATTAAGTAGGTAGCAAATTCGGAAACACATAAGTTAGAGTGATGTTAAAATAAAAATATCAATACATGTTTCTCGTTAAATAACAGGATATATATATATATATATATTAGAAATGTGTCAGTAAATAAGATATTTATGTTTTAAATTCAGATTCATTGCAAGAAACCAGTTCATATATACTTTCGGTCCAAAGTTAAAGAATTAACAATCATATAATACTAATGTCATTTCACAAAACTATAAGACTCAAAATTAATTTTAGTGAAACAGAGCCATACCTGAAGATTCTAGCATGTCTTTTCAGGTGATATTATTACTACTGGTTAGCTTTTAGATACTGCTGGTCCTTAAACAATCATATAAATTTCTGTAAATATTCTATAAAAAAAAAACAAAACATTGCTATTGAACAAATGCATAAAGAAAAAAAATTTAAGCGAGTGAGAAAATTCAAAGAGATTTCCCCATTGATATTGTCAATCAAAACTAAGAGAACACCTTTATTTTTTTTTTGAAAATAATTTTTCTAGATATGGAAAAAACATCAACCCAGTTGAGAATATTAGCCAGAACTCGAAGGGAAAAGAACAAAAAAACTTTAGTTTCGGAAAGTTGCAACTTTAGGAACATAACAATACTTTCCTTAGTAGCATCATCTTACTGATGAACTTCTTGTGCGACGATAAAAGATTGATGATGAGCTTTACCAAGAAATTCCATTCATATTCAACAATGCAACCTTGATTCATCATTTGAAACATATGAAAACACATATTAAGAATTTGTGAAATAGTCTAGATTTATTAGTCAAAGAGAGAGCTGTAATAATACATGTGCACATCAATTAGAAATTCAAAAATTATGTTCGTTTAATGGAATTACGTTGTTATATAATAAAAAATGAGGAAAGTGAAAGATCTTTGAAAATAATTCCAAGATTAGAATTTGAATAGTAATAATGAACGAATATATAAATGCTATAAATTATAGGATATTAATTTGAAAGAGACGAAATTTTAGGTAAACCGTTGAGAAGTTTTTGTCTTTAGAAGATATAACAGGTAATAAAACTTGCTTCAAGTTTTAGGAGTAATATACCACTCATAATTAAGTCAATTAAGTCATAAAAGAATTATATTAGGAAATAAAAATTAAATACATAATATCATAATAATGAATTCCTCTATTTTAATAAACATTAAATAAATAGTATCATAATAATGAATCACTGACATAAAAATTCGTATTAGTTCTGAAGCTAAAAAAAATTACCAATGTTCTTTCATTTGATTTTTGTTGGATCTGATGTATCAACAGAAAATGGTGTCTTTAACTTATTGGCCATATAAACACCAATGAGATGTCTTCATAGTGGTGGAAGTAACCACATCTCATATAGATATAATCTGTGGACATTACCAAAAACAATTTTAATTATGATTTGTTTGTTTATTAACTAACAAAATGGTTCACCTAAATTATAATTATAATTAGACAAAACGAACAAAAATACTTACAATTTCATGATAGAGATGACAAAGAAGCTTGATCTCATAAATTGTACATTTGGCTTCCATCTGATGATCAAACCATGTTAAACAATAAAGAAGAAACAATTAACCTATATAAAAAAGCTTTGTCATAAAATTTGAAAACTACCTTACATATTCATGAAGTAATACAGATTTAAGTGTTTTATCAAGACTCCATTATCTCATAGCCTGAGTATATTAACACTAATTCGTCAATCATACCTACAAAGAATCAAATAAAATATATTAGAACCATACAAAAGTAAAAAAAAAAAAATATGCAGGAAAAAAATTGTGAGAATGACATTGATAGAATGCATATTTATAAGGACGCAAGTGTATGTAAGAAGCTTCATCAATTTAATTTTAAAATCAAATCAAATTATTGTTACGAATTTATTAACAGCGCAGCTAATGGCAACAAATTAGGAAATAAAATAATTAAGAATATTTTATTCTTCGCCACATATATTTTGAACAAAATCACATGCATATTTGGAAGAAGTAATCATAACTAACAAATTTGAATAAATTCGAAATAAAAGTAATTATTTTTTATGTATAATGTTGAGTTGTTAAGCTAAAATTTAGGAAACAATATAATATTTAGTTAAATATTTAAATGATTCCAAAAATAAAATTAGGAAACCAAGATTTAAAAAATTATAGTAGCCCTCAGTTATAGCAAATAATCATTTTTGATTAGATTCGATTTATGAATTTATTAACTTAATTTAAAAGAGCTGATCCCTCCATTATAGCAAACAACCCAATTTAGATATACAATTTTTTTTCTGTTAAATGTATTCAATTTATTAGTTATATTCTTAACAAATAAAAAATTTATAGATATGTTAGATTAATAATTTTTTATCTAAGAAAATAATTTTTATCAAGCAATTATGTTCTATTAATTTTTAACGAATTCGGTTATATGAAATATGTTTAATTTTATTATTATATAATATATATTTTTATAAATTTATAAAAATTATTGTGTTTTCAATATTTAAAATATTGCAAATGCATGGATATATATATATATATATATATTTAACATTATTTGATAAAAAAATAGTAACATAATTTCGTATTACAACATTAAATAAATATATTGTATAATGGTAAATAAAGATTATTATATAATGTAATTATTGTAAGTTATTGTTGAACTAAATTAGGAAAATGAATAAAGAATAAGTAATTAAGAATTTAAAATGTAATTGGTCGAGAAAACTAAATAAGGAAAAAAAATTAGGTAGAATGGAATGAATTATTTAAATGAAAAAGGCTGAGAAAAATTGTGGTAGCGACACCTTAGCAAAATGGCCTCCAAATTCTTCTTGTTTAACGTATAGAGGATGGTAACAAATTTGTGGGATATAATTAATGCATGAAAATTTTATGGTGAATAAAAGCCATGCTCCATCATTGTAATACACTGAGTTTAGGGATATAATTTTTTTTTTATAAACACTATCGGCTGATCCAGTCAGTCAATGCTGGTAGGAATATACTAAAATGCTATAAAGTAGATTAATTATCTAGGTTCAATAAACACTATAAGCTTCAAACGAACTCAGATCACCGTAAACTTCAGACAGTCCTTAATTAAAGCCATGACTTTTGCATAATAGCATTTTATTATCAGTTGATTTGAAATGTAAAACCAAAAAATCATATATCATAACTATGTGTTCTCTTGTTACCCAAAAAAAAGTGTTCTTTTATTTATTTTGATTCTCATAATTATATTTCTTCATTAGTTTCCAAAAACTCTTGCAGGACCACCAAACATTATAGTCCTCCCCCAATATTTAGATACAGAGATATAATTTTGTCTCACATAATCCCAACCAATATCAGAAATAACCTGATTAGCACCTACCACACCAATGATTTCCTGACTATCAGCATCTACTACAGAGATATTACGAGCGTACGCATAAAGTTTCGGGTCATCGTACTCAACTTGTAGTCCATTGCCCATCGGACTACTCTTCGAGTTTGGAATCGTGAACAATTCTCCACCCCAAAAAACATCGTCTGCATTGTATGCTAAATCAGTGAAGATGCGAGACGGCCAAAAGCCGATATTTTGTTCCTTATCTTTATCTCCTAAGTTTAACCACCAGTTTCCATTAAATGGATCCTTGGAAAGAAAGAAAAAAGAAACTTAAAAGACTTGGAAAAAAAGGAAATTATATGGTTTTCATAATAGATTTATGAAAAACATATTAAAGTCACTAGTTTGTAACTTCTTTAATAGTTTAACATACTCGAAAAATGTAGAATCTAGCTTCGACCATAAGCACTCCGGTCTTTGAAACCTCTAGAAATGCATAATCAAGAGGTATATCGGAATTTGTTATCACAAAACCTGGACAGTTCATGTTGAAACAGTGTTGTTCACGCGTCTGTATCCATTAAAAAATACAAAACTGATATTAGCTCAAATAAAAGCAGAAATCAGTTATTGATAGTAATTAAGCTGGATTCTTCTGAGTGATCGGTTTTTCTTACAAAGCATAATTTGAAACTATTGTTTACTTACTGAATTAAATGCCCATATATCATATCTTAATACATGTCTGACCAAAACAATCTTTGTTTTCGACCATTAATCAATTAATATAGTGACAGACACAGATTGACAGTTTGACACTATTAGATAAAGATTGTTTGCAAAGTTTATGTAATGTTTTTACGTAATCATGAATGGCCGCACTCGCCATGCAGTTTTGTTTTTTGGGTTATCGCGCCATGCAAAAATGCATAAAACAAATTTTCAAAAATACCAACAAAAGTCTACGTATTTAATGGAATGTAGATATATTGCTTACATGCAAATATGCAAATAACCGGCAACGATCATCTCCATATAGCGTCGGATTCACCTGTAAAATTAAATAAATAAATGAAAATTACATATTCACTAATACTGATGGATTTTTTAAAGCTATGAATACAATGTTGTACCGTCCAACCAGCCTTGATGAAATCTGTACCATTGGATACTTTGATTAAACCGGAAGAGAATTGAAGTTGGTTAACATATGGAGTTTGGTATAAAGCGAAGTGAGCATCTGCTCCTCCTATATTCTTCTTTATCCACTCTGGTCGGACTCTACCTCCTGCATACTATTGAATTTCACAATTGTAACTATTTTTTCCAATGAAACTATATTAAATATATAAATTATAAATATAAGGAGAACTACAATGAATAATACCATAAAATTGAGAAAAAGAGAAATGAAAGAGAGGGAAATTTACGCACGTGCAAACCCGGTTCGGAATCGGTTTGAGGATGAATATTTGAGTCAAACATTTGGTTGAATACTTTTTGTCTTATTAGATCTTCTTTGGTAGTTCTTCTAATTGGGACTGTGCCACGTGGACATCCAACTCCTTTTAAAGTAACTGATTTTGTTTTATCGTTACGACGTCGTTCTCGCTCTTCTTCATTCTCAATTTTCTCTGGTCTATTCACATTGCTTGGTTTCATCTAGAAAAACAAATCACGTATTTTATAGAGATGAAATTCTGACTGGCTCAGGTGCAATTAATCCTTCACCAACAGCAACGCATGCCGAGGTAGAAGCATTACGAATGGCAACAATAGAGTTAATACATTAGGGTTATGCAAATGTTACATTTAATGGAGATTTACAAATGCTAAATATATAATTATATACCGTTTCAAAGCCAGCAAAAAGTATGAAGTTGGATCAATGGAAGCATCATTAACTTGGAGTCCACATACAAGATATTATTAATATAGCTAAATCGTGTGACTTCCAGTTTAAACAAGTTAATAGGTTAGTCAATAGTAATGTGGATGCTTTAGCAAAGCAAGCGAGATATTGAGCTTAAGCAAATTTGTAATAAAATGGATGGTGTAAATCCCTTTTATGGTAATGAAACAGTTTGACGACAAAAAAAGAGAGGAAATATTAAAACGAAGCCAATCATAGAATACACTTTATTCAGATAATCTGTTTTTTTTTTTATTATTATTACCTGAGGGTGAAAATTATGGTTTTTCAAGAGAGGATGATCGAACGCAGGTTGTTTGTAAAAATCTATACAATCATAGATCTGACCATATTCAGTCTGCAGAAAATAATTCAACGTCAAATTTTTATTAGAAGAAACTTGATTTTAAAATCCAAACATGTAAAAGAATAAATCGTACTATAAGTAAATTTTTTGTCAGCTACGTACGTATGATCAGTGATATTAACCATATAAAACTATGAATAAACAATGAAAAAATAATAATTAAGCACTAACCTCGACCGTTTTAACAGGCGATTTATTCAAAAGCTTAAGTTGTCTCTCTAATTCCAAATCTTCTTCTACAGACAACTCTCTATTTGCAGGCTTGGCAACACAACTTGTTAACACAAAAGCCGCTAACACAAAACATTTCACCAAAAACATTTTTAGGCAATGACTTTTCTTTTGAAATTGTGTTGAATATTTTCTTCAACTCACACACACATACATATATATGAATCTGTGATTTATAGATTCTGAGAGTTTATACTTTGGATTAGTAAACGCATTTAATTTGAAATTTTAATAGGAAAATTTGTAATTTGTTTATGACAAAATCTGAAATTGTTAATTACGGAGGAATATGCTATGGCATATGTTATGAGGGTCATAATATACTCGTGATATTCTCCCTCTTTTTTTTTTCCATGTGAACCAAATAATTTAGGGCTATCTTGGATTTAGATCGAACCAAACTGACATTGATATCGTACGTTAACTGTGATAATGTATATGATGGTATCATGAAATACATGTTTTTGGCAGAATATTTTACACGTTTTTATATAACTGTTCTGATTCTAAGTTCCATATGTTCATTAAAAAAAGGTTTGAAACTGACAAATTTTTAGATAATTTTCCAACATGTAAGATATACTATATATCATCATAATGAAAATGTTGTAAGGATTTAGCTATATATCATCAGAATGAAAATGAGGTAAGGATTTAACGCTTATTTCTTTTAATAGAAAAAATTATGTATAAGATAGTTCAAACAATTGTCACATCAACTGTGTAATTTGTAATTCAAACTGAAACTGCTCTCATCATTTATTTGAGCTACAGGTGAATCATTTTGGGCTCTAGAGATCATATTTAGATTGAAGTAGATGGATCAATCCCTGAATTAATCATCTTATCAACCAAATCCTCAGCTTCTTTAATTTTTTGCTTTACATAGAACCTCAATCAAGTAAACTATAGCTAGCAACATTTGGATCCTTATTATTTTCCAAAACAATCTTGCAGGACCACCAAACATTATAGTCCACCCCCAAGTTTTTACATAAAGATACTTTTGTCGTCGCACTTAATCCCAACCAATATAGTCCACCAATTTCCATTAATGAAGCAATTAAATATTGTATGTATTTAAGATTACACTTTATTATTATGATGGAGAACATACAAGTAATCAGTGGCGGATCTACATGAGCCAAGGAGGTGGCACTTGCCCCCACTAAAATTTACAAATTTTTTTATAATATATTAAAGTTTAATTCATTTTCCCTTATGGAAAATCATTTTCTTCCCTCATTTTTTAATGTTTGCCCCCACTAAAATTATTTCTTGCATCCGCCCCTGCAAGTAATGTTTCGCTTTTTTTTTTGTTCTATCACTTCTTCCATATGATTTTTGTGTAATTGATTATTGTATTTCAGACTTTCAGTGGTTTGTTTGATTTAATCCATGACATTCTCCAAATCTGGTTTAGCATGTACGTCCAATAGCAGTTTTTGAGTTAAGCTGTAATTTTTCTTTCTTAAATTAGCATCTTTCTAGCTTAGTCTTTAGCTTAGTCAAAGACTTTTGGCGATGTACATATATCATTTTTTGATTTGATCAATAAATTCAACATTCAATCAAAAAAAAAATAATAATAAAAAAAAAGTCAATACAGTTAAAGTTGTTGGATCCATTTCTTTTGTTTTAACTGATATTTGAGATAGGAGTAGAGATACACAGTATTAACAATTTACTCATTTACTGTCGAACAGAAAAAAAATATAACAACGCTTTTGAATTTTTTACTATTTTTGTCACAGTTTTTTTTTCTTCTCAATCTAATTATAGTCTTTGCTTTTTTAGAGGGTTCTAATTATAGTATTTTGATAATACTTTTGGTGCATGCGTTATTCATTAAGTGTTCTCTGTTAGTGTTCATAATCTGTTCATTACTCAGCAGCCAACTTTTTAGTGAAGCACAGAGAGAGGTTGATCTCAACTAAAAGCGGTTTTTTAATTGGATCTGGATTCTTGAGTTTTACAGAAAATATTTAGACAAATTGAGAAGAAAACAAAGATGAAGTTTGGGAAAGAGTTTGTTGGGCAGATGATTCCAGAATGGCAACAAGCTTACATGGATTATGCTTGTCTCAAATCCATTCTTCAAGAGATCCAAAATTCACGGAAACGATCAGAGAAATCAGGTGCCTTAAAACGCAAGAAATCTTTCCACCGCAACTTTAGCCGCAACTTTAGCGGTCTCACAAAGCGGTCCAGCCGCACCGCCTCGTCACTGGAACTCGAAAACCAGGATATTCTGGTGAGTGCAACGATTGGGGATGATGGGTTTGAGAGATACGAGACGACCATCATGAAAGTTGCAGAAGAAGGGAGAGAGTCAGAGTCAGAGCTTGTATTCTTTAAAACCCTAGATCTCGAGCTCAACAAAGTGAACCATTTTTACCGGTTTGAAGTGGAAGAAATGGTGAAGGAGGCAGTAGTTTTGAACAAACAAATGGATATTCTGATTGCTTTTCGAATCAAAGTCGATAAACCTTCTTCTTCTTGGAGCTGCACTGAAACAGTATCAGTTGATATGAATGCCTTGGGTTCTAAGGAACAGAGTAAGTTCTCAGAGATTGTTTGTTTGCTACTGGTTTAGTCTGAAAGGACAAAAAGTTAAAAAAAAATCTCTTTTTGTGTGTGTTTGATTATGAAGGGAAGACATTAGCTAATGAGATGAGAATCGAAGGAGAGGAAAATGGATCCAACGGTGGAGAATCAACAAAAGAGAGCGTACCAAAAACTTTAGCTAATGAGATGAGAATTGAAGTAGAAGAAAATGTATCCAACGGTGGGGATACATTAGCTGATGAGACAGGAATCGAAGTAGAGGAAAATGAACGCAATGGTGGGGATTCATTAGGAGATGAGATAGAACTCGAAGTAGAGAAAAATGGATCCAACAGTGGGGATATATTAGCTGATGAGATGGATATCGAAGTAGAGGAAAGTAGATCCAACGGTGGGGATTCAACGAGAAAGAGCGTACAAGAGGCTTTAAGTGTTCTTGATCGTATCAGACTAAACAAAACTCAAGAAACTCCTCTGTCCACAATTAGAAACGTCCTCAAGCTCTCAAACAAGGAAGAGCTCAAATTCACAAGAGAGAATCTCAAAAAAATTGAAGAACGGCTTAAGAATGTCTTCATCGAGTTTTATCGTAAGCTTCGACATCTCAAGAATTACAGGTATGTATGTTGCTTCTTAAGCATTCTTAAGAAAGAAAAAAATAAAAACAACTCATAAAGATTGTTTGATTTAATCCATGCTCTGTCCATTATTAATTCAGCTTCTTGAACACCTTGGCAATTTCAAAGATCATGAAGAAGTATGATAAGGTCACACTTGATTTAAGTAGATATAGATATCTATATAAGTTTCTTGATATTTATTGATATTTTTTCTCTACCAGATAACTACAAGAAGTGCAGCAAAACCATACATGGAGATGGTAGATAAGTCCTACCTCACAACCTGTGATGAGGTTAATACATAAAACTTATTATTTTCTTTCAATAATACTACAAACATTAAACCGAAACTTTATTTACATTTAACAGATCAACAAACTTATGGTGAGAGTTGAGTCTATTTTTGTTGAGCATTTCGCCAGTTCCAATCGAAGCAAAGGAATGAATCTCTTAAGACCAAAAGTGAAGAAAGAAAAACATCGGATAACATTTTCCACTGGTAACTAAACAGATCTCTGAAATGGAAACCTGGTTCTCAGAGGCTAGTTCATGACATATTAATCAAAATATCTCAGAATTGTTCTTCTTTCTCAGGCTTTTTTGTTGGCTGCTCAGTCTCTCTAGTGATTGCTCTTTGCTTGCTCATCCATGCTCGTAATATAATGGACACAGTCGGACATAAACTGTACATGGAGACAATGTTCCCTCTTTACAGGTTCAAACCAAAACATCTACAAAATTATCTAATTAAACCACTGCTTCCTTGCTGACAATAATGCTTCTTAAACCATATTTTTCAGTTTGTTTGGATTTGTGGTTGTGCACATGATCATGTATGCTTCAAACATATACTTTTGGAAGCGATATCGAGTGAATTACCCATTCATATTCGGATTCAAAGAAGGAACAGAGCTTGGTTATAGACAGGTTCTGCTTCTAAGCTTTGGTCTCGGCACACTTGCCCTAACTTCTGTTTTAATAAACCTTGACATGGAGATGGATCCTAATACAAAAGACTACAAGACAACCACTGAACTTCTTCCCCTTTTTATTGTCGGTGTAAGTTGTTCATTACCGTAACCACAAGAATCTCAAATCATTCTGTTATTATTGTGGTTAACACATATTCTTTCTGTGAAATCTCTTCAGCTAGTGATAGCTATTTCTATCTGTCCATTTAACATTTTTTATCGGTCAAGCCGCTTCTTTTTCCTCATGGTTGTATTCCGCTGCATTTCTGCGCCGCTCTATAAGGTTTCATTTAGCACTTCCTCGTTATTTTTTTTTGTTGGTTAAAGTAAAAACATCGATAAATATCTTAATTGATCTCTCTTAATTTGATCTCATCTAAATTGCAGGTTAGTCTTCGGGATTTTTTCTTGGCGGAACAAATTACAAGTCAGGTTTGTCTGTTCATAACATTCTTCTAACTTTTCATAATTATGTTTTCAAAAAGAAATGTTTCAGTTTATCAACCATAATTTCTTTAGGTTCAAGCACTGAGGAGCCTGGAGTTTTACATCTGTTACTATGGTTGGGGAGATTTCAGGCACAGACAAACCACATGCAGATCAAGCGATGTATACAACACATTCTACTTCATTATCGCTGTGATTCCTTACTGGTCACGTTTCCTTCAGTGTGTTCGAAGATTCATCGAAGAGAAAGATTCAAGCCAAGGCTACAATGCTATCAAGTGTTTACTGACCATTGTCTCTGTGTGCTTGAGAACAGCTTATAGCCTTAACAAAGGAAAAGTCTTGAAAATCGCTGCATGGGTTTTCTCGGCGTTGGCAACTTTTTGCAGCACATATTGGGACATTGTGTTTGACTGGGGATTGCTTCACAAACCATCTAAAAACTGGTTGAGAGAGAGACTTCTTGTTCCTCACAAGGCCGTATACTACGTTGCAATGGTGAGAAGTAAGAAATAAAGAGAACAGTACAGTATTGTTCTAGGGTTTATTTTTTTTCCTTATGTCTTCTCTTCTTTGTAGGTCTTAAACGTTGTGTTGAGATTCGCGTGGTTACAGACTGTGCTGGATTTCAATTTACCGTTCTTGCATAGACAAACAATGATTGCTCTTCTCGCTATTCTTGAGATCATACGCCGTGGTATCTGGAATTTCTTCAGGTAGCGTCTTCACCAAGAAACAATCGATAAATGCTTAGTAAAATCATTTCTTTTACTTAAGAATGTGGATTTGTTGGCTTGTGAACACAGGTTAGAAAACGAGCATTTGAACAACGTGGGGAAGTTCAGAGCAGTCAAATCAGTTCCATTACCATTCATCTACGAGGAAGAGGAAGAATCGAGATAATCAACTATTATAATGTTCCCTCTTTACAGGTTCAAACCAAAACATCAACAAAATTCTCTAACTATTTCTTGCTGAAAATAATGCTTGTTAAACCATAGTTTCAATGTTTTAAGAAGCATTATTGTGGAAAGTTGGCATTTTTGTGGCATAAAAAGATGAAGAACAATAATATTTGGTGTCCAATGATCTTGGATAGAAATGGAGTAGAGGTAACAGGGAAGGTTGAGTGGTTTGATTCATAACTCTGATACACGTTATACAACCATCGACAAAACAGAAAAGCTAATTAAGTTTATGTGTTTCCTTTTTGCAATAGGATTATGTTTTGGTGTTTTCCTTTTATTGGTTTTAAGCTTTAGGATGTTTTACTTTTTAATTTAGGAGAATTGGTTTGTAGCGTGGACTCTATATAGGTCCCTTATATTCAATAAGAAGACAGCTTCCAACAATTAACCTTAATCTCTAAGAGAGACTAGGGTTAAGAGGAAGAAAGTTTAAAGTTTTAATCTCTTCTTTCATCATAGCGTTTAATTATTCGGGTCCGATTACTCGAGCTAAAGCTAGATCTTTGGCTCATATCAAACTCTTTATCAGATCTATATATGGATGGGATCTTAACACTCAACCTCTTATATGACCACCTTTCTTTTCATAATACAGTAATAATAAAAACTTAAAAGGTATAAGATCAATAAAACAATTCTTCACATCAACTGTGTAATTTTAAGTCACATTGAAACTGCTCTTATCATTTGTTTGAGCTACAGGTGAATCATTTTGGGCTCTAGAGATCATATTACAGATTGAAGCAGATGGATCCATCCCTGAATCAATCATCTTCTCAACCAAATCCGTAGCTTCTTTCAAGTTTCTTTCTTTACAAAGTACTTCGATCAAATTACTATAGCTAGCAACATTTGGAGCCAACTCTTTATCTACCATCTCTCTGAGCAACCTCAACGCTCTATAAGAACTACCTTCCTTGCAATACCCAAGAATCATTGTATTGTATATCACCTCGTTAGGTTCCAACTTCTTCTCTACCATCGACCTAAAAAGCCTCGACGCTTCATTCATTTGACCCTTGATGCAAAACCCGTGAATCAACACACTATAAGTATGAGCATCTGGAACTACTCCTAGTTTCTCCATCGAAGCTCGAAGCTGAATCGCTCTCTCCATGTTATCCGAACGAGCAAATGTATCGATAAGAATTGTGTATGTGACTTTCGACGGTTTAATACCTCTTTCTTCCATCTCCTTAACCATCTTTGCTGCTCCTGAAGTATCTCCTTTCTTACAAAACCCAGACACTAGAATATTATACGTGACCAGAGATGGAGACATACCTCTTGACTTCAAATCTCTGCATAAACTCAAAGCCTTGCCTAATTTTCCCACATTACAAAACCCATCAATCAAAGTGTTATAAGTGATCAAGTTCGGGTTGATTCCATCGCTCTTCATTTGATCCATCAGCTTATTAGCTTCACTTGCCTTCATCTCTCTACATAACCCACCGATGAGAGTATTATAGGTAACAATGTTACACGAAACTCCTCTCGCACGCATTTCGTCGAACATTTTGAATGCGTCTTTTGTTCTTCCGTCTTTGCAGAGCTGATTCATCACACAGTTGTAAGTATAGAGATTGGGGAAGACCCCATCGTTCTGCATTTTCTCGTATAGCTCAAACCCTTGTTTCTTGATCCCGTTTTTGAATAACCCGTTAATCAAAACAGTGTAAGTACGCTCATTAGCGACTAATCCGATTTTCCCCATTTCCGAAAACAAAGCTTTGGCCTTTTCGATTTCTCCTTTCTTGTAACACCCATCGATCAATGTAGTGTAGATAACAACGTTTGGAGAAAACCCATTCTCTCTTAATTCAACAAGAACCTCAAAGCTCTTCTCAATTTCCCCAGATTCGCAACAGCCTTTAATCACAATCCCGAAACTGTACACGTCCAGAACAACTTTGCTCTTGTTCTCATTGAAGAAAGCCCAGAATTCTTCGAAAGAAGACGACCCAACAACGAAACTCAAGAAATTATTGAAGCAATTCGGTCCAGGAACAAACCCCTTATCGACCATCTCGTTAAAGTAAGAGATCGCGGGCTCCAGGGATTGAGATTGAACATACGTATTGACGATTACTTCATAGAGTCGAGACTTGGTTTTCCAACTTTCTGATTCTGTCAAGTACTGTAACAGAGAGGAAGAAGTAAAGAATTGGGAATGGATTCTCCCAGAGATAACTTGAAGCAGAAGCGATTGAGCGTGAGAGAATAGGTTCCCAGATAGAAGGAGACGAAGAAGAATTGAGAAGGATTCATGTGTGTGTTGAACTCCATGAAATATCGATGAATTCAATAGAGTGAAAGCCTTTAACGGAGGAACCTTTACTAATTTCGCTAACAGAAAGAGGGTCTTTTGAGCTTTCTCCGCCATAGTTTAAACATTAGGCTGCTTGCGAGAAGAAGAAGAAGCCAAATCGGAGCTTCATTATTTTTCTCCGGCATCTGAACATATAAAATATTAGTTTTATTTTAAACAAGAAAAAGCCCATATCTAATGGGCTCTATTAAGAAAATAAGGCCCATTTAATACCATAAATCTCATGAGTTAAATAATGGCATAAATGTAAATAAGTAAAAATAAGAGGAGAGAGTGTCTAGGAACTATCGAAACAATCTCTTATCTCCGAAAACTTTTTTCAATTTTCCTCACGTTATCGTTTCTGGAAATTTGTACGTTCAAAATCTCCAAATACTCTTGGGGGAAAATCGTAATCCCTTTTTATGGCGTTAATCGATCGAAATTGAGAATCAAGAAAAGCTATTGAAATGTCAGCGACGACGACGGCGAACACGACGGAGCCAGATTTGGCGTCTTTGCCTTCTCGCGTCGGCAGGGCGAATTCCGACGGAATCATCGACACAACGCCGTTACTTCCTTCCGGCGTTTCGAGAACCGTGAGCGTTGATGAAGACAATGGGATTCATCGATCCGCTAGACGACAAGGTCTTAGGGAGGCAGCGAGGTTCCTTCGTCACGCTGGTAGCCGGAGGATGATGCGTGAGCCGTCGATGCTGGTTAGGGAAACCGCCGCCGAGCAATTGGAGGAGAGGCAGAGTGATTGGGCGTATTCGAAGCCTGTGGTGTTTCTCGACATTCTGTGGAATCTTGCTTTTGTGGCGATCGGTGTCGCTGTTCTGATTCTCAGCCGCGACGAGCGGCCGAATATGCCGTTAAGAGTTTGGGTGGTAGGTTACGGTATTCAATGCGGGTTACATATGGCGTGCGTGTGCTTTGAGTATAGGCGGAGGAGGTGGCGGCGTAGGAGAGGCACGCGCCACCGATCATCATCAGCCTCCTCTTCTTCGTCGGAGGATAGTGGTCCGAGGTTTACGAATTCATCGCAGCAATACGTATCGTTAGCGCAATTGGAGGATAGAGGAAATACTAGGTATCGATTTCTCTTTGGTTGGATTATTGGATTCGATTTGTGGTTTGATTTGATCTGGAATCAGAGTTTATAATTTCGAATTGGGAGAAGTTGGAGATGAAATTTGTTCACTGTATATACATTTCAATGTGGAGTCTATGTTTCTAGGTTAGTTTTAGTTGATGCTTATTGTATCTGTGAATCAATGCCACTTTTCTTGTGCCTTTTCCACGTTTAGGTCAGAAGATATAAATGATAGACTTGGGGAACGAACTTGATAAAGAAAGAAATCTCACTAAAACTCTGTTAAAAAGGAAACTTGAACTATTATATAATTTTTAATCTTTGGTGAATATTGATATCAGCTTATGTTCTTGTGTCAGAGTCTCAGAGATAGTTTAGGCCATTTTCTTTGTTGTTTGTCTGAGTTTCCTTACTCTGAAATTTTATTTTGTTCCCATATGGCCCTTGTTGATTCTCGATGTTCATTGTCTCAGTAATTCTGCAAAGCATCTTGAATCAGCCAACACAATGTTCTCATTCATCTGGTGGATAATCGGATTCTACTGGGTATCTGCGGGTGGCCAAACACTATCTAGTGACTCTCCTCAGCTCTATTGGTATGTTTCCTTTAATTTTGGTTTCGTTTTTGAAATTGTATCTCTGTGGGATTTTTCTTTTTTTGATTTGTACCATGGTGTTTTAAACTTGCAGGCTTTGTATCATTTTTCTCGGTTTCGATGTTTTCTTTGTCGTTTTCTGTGTTGCACTGGCTTGTGTTATCGGGCTTGCAGTTTGCTGCTGTCTTCCATGTATAATTGCAATCTTATATGCTGTTGCCGATGAGGTGAGCTCTCTTTACTACTTCCATTCCTGTTAAACCCGTTCTTTCATCTAAAGAGGATTAGTAATTACAACTCCAAAATCATGATGTTCAATTATTATCCTTTGATGCAAATGTGCACAACAGGAGGGAGCATCGAAAAACGATATAGATCAAATGCCAAAATTCAGATTTAGAAAGATTGGCAATGATGAAAAGCTACCTGGCAAGGCACAGGCAACTTCTGACCGAGGAATAATGACAGAATGTGGAACAGATTCACCTATTGAACGCTCAATTTCTCCAGAAGATGCGGTACTCCCATTTCCTTTACCTTATTGATCATACATTACAAAAGTGTTGAGACTGAGAACGCTTTGCTTTGTTGTGATTCTGTAGGAATGCTGCATCTGTCTCTGTGAATATGAAGATGGAGTCGAGCTAAGAGAACTCCCTTGTAACCATCACTTTCATTGCACTTGCATCGATAAATGGCTTCACATCAATTCTCGTTGCCCGCTTTGCAAGTTCAACATCTTGAAGAATGTAAACGAAGTCTAGTGAGTGTTTATGGTTTCAGGATCACCTGAACCATCCCAGACCAGAAGTTTCAGGTCAATTCTGGTGCGTGTTTTAGTGTTGTGTTTAGTTAGAACTCTAGATCGATGTATTACAGTCACTAGAGGGAAAATGGGAATTCATCCTTGGACCTCATTCTTTTTTCTGAACTGTGAAACGAAGCTTTGTGTGTTTCGTTTACTAATTTTTAAAAAATTCTAGAAAGCAAACCAGACGTCGTTCAAACAGAGTACTGATTCTGTTCACCAATAAAACGACGCCGTTTATCTACATCCGAGCCACAAGCCGAACGACATTGTTTGAAATCGAAAGGACACTGTTTTGGTGACAATTGACGGACACATTTTAATACAACACCGTTTTACATAACGAAACGTTGCCGTTTTCGGACACAAGTAAAAACAACGCTTTTTGAAACATTTTTGGAAACGACGATGGTGGACGAAGCAAATGAAAACGACGGTGTCAAAGCCAGTGGTTAAAAAATTGCTTCACTAAGAGCATTTCCAATAATCCTTCAAATTTCACTTTTTCTTTCATTTTGAAAATAAAAATGAAGAAATTTTCTTCAATGCTGCTTCAATTTCACCTTCAAATATGAAAGAACACTGTTCATTTGGAAAACCACTTCTAAATCTATTAAAATAATAAAATTTAACATAACATAAACTAACAACTTAATAATCTGGAAAACCACTTCTAAATCTATTAAAATTATTAAATCTTATTGTAGAATTGTTATAAATTAAATAAATAGGTGAAAGTTTATAAAACATAAAAATAAAAGATCTTGTTAGCAATTAATAATAAAATAGAGATAGAATATACTTAGAATATTCTTTTTGAAGAAAAAAATGAAGAAAAATTTGCTCCAGTGGTAATGAAGTTTCTTCAAAAATGAAAGAAAAAATGAAGAAATCATTGGAGATGCTCTAAGCAAATTTGAATTCTTCAAAACAATTATATGGACTTGCCAAAAAGAAAAGAAAAGCATGAAATGAAAAAAGAATCTTGGTAGGGTTGTTTTCGTCTTTTTCTGATCATCACTCGTGCTTTTCCGCGCTTCCCCCAAAAACCCCTGAAGCTCCTCTTTTTTCACCATTCTTCTTCCATGAGAAGGGGACAACGAACAAGGACGCTGAATAAAAGTCTCTCTGCACCTCCCGTCTCCTTCTCCTTCTTCCTCAATTTCAAGAATTACGTCATAGTTCAGAGGAAAATTTTCGTTTCCTGACCGTTATCGTTTGGTGGCGAAGATGGATTCTCTATTGCAGCGGTACCGGAACGATCGCCGCAAGCTCCTGGAGTTTCTTATGTCTTCGGGTTTGGTAAGGGAGCTTCGTTCCCTTTCTGGTTCTTCTACGCCTCTTTCTCCGGCTGATTTGGATGCTCTCAGCGCCGATTATGTCTTGGATTGCGTGAAATCCGGTGAGTCTACATTTTCGCAGAAACTTTGAAATTTATGTATAGCTATTTTTTTCTTTAATCGCTTAGAACCTTAGCATCTGTTTCTGGGTTGAAATTTGGTTAATGGAGTTCAGGAGCAGTTTGTAATCTGTGAAATGGGTTTTTGATTTCTGAATTGTTTTTTTTTTTTTCATCCGATTTGTTGATTTCGTGAAATAAAAGTTGGCTCTCTGCTAGGTAGTGTCGATTTGCCAACCATCTGAACTTGAAGCATCTATTATCTAACCAATCTATTACTGAAGAAACACTCCATTTTGTGAACACAAACGCAGGTGGTGTAGTTGATGTATTCAAGGGCACAAAGAAATTCAATTTTGAGTCTTCATACCCCGTAACGGTAAGGAAATGTTTCTACTAAGCTCCCTGTATGTAGGTGTCTTTAAATGCATAGTTGAGCTAAGAAAGTTTGCATTCCAAAGAACATCATGTTATTCTCTTCTTGATTGTTTACTCCATGGGAAGTATAGTTTGAGTAAACAGTGGCAAATTGTGGATTTACAGTAAAAATGTATCGTCATTGGTGTGAAGTAGAGCTGTGATGATTGAAAGTCAAGTTGTTTGCAATATATCATCCTCACAGTTCATGTGGCTTAAGCTGTTGATATAAAACACCTATGACTTTGTTGATGATAACCGTGGAGAGTGATTAGTTTTGATGACTCGAATTTGCAGATACACTCTGAGTCTAGAGATTCCTTTTTTCTTGTATCGAGTCCAGATGTAGCAGGTTCTCCTCCTCGCCGTATACCTCCCCAACCAATTAACATGGGAAATTCCAGTAACAATGGCCCTGACATGTCATGCCACATTGATAATACTCCTTCATCTAGAGACAAGTATATATTTAAAGAGGAAGCACCTGACATCAAACCAATGAAACCTATCAAGATCATTCCTCTCGGCTTGCCACCCTTGAGAACAGGTATTTTAGTTAGGAAATTTCTTCTTGAACATTCTCGCCTAGAGAACTATTTGTTTTTACTTGTGAATCTTGGTTAATCCAGTTTCCATTTTTCGAGTGAACTGATACATGACGTTAGGAATTTTGAAGGGTTATCGGATGATGATTTGCGAGAAGCAGCTTACGAATTAATGATTGCGTCTATGTTGCTTTCGAGGTACTCACTCTTTTTTGTTGTTTCCTTCATACATGTTTATTTGCTTATGATTCAGACTACCAGCTATTGTAAGGATAAATCTGTGTGGTTTCTCTTGCTTCTGCACATTCTTATGGGCTTTTCATAACAGTGTTGAGGCGTATCCTACGCAGAGAAGAAAGTTAGAAAAAGGCTCAAAGCTTTTGTTAAGTTTGAAGAGAAAGGACAAACCGCATCTGCAGCCTCAGATCTCTAATGCACACTCAGAGGTCATCAACATGATCCGCGTCCAGATGCAGGCAAGCTAAATAATCAGTATATGTGATACCTTCTAAGGAACCAGTAGTTATCTGACGTAGTAGTAGAGGAGAAGGTCTTCTGATTATTCAGCTAACAAGCATTTTGTTTACTAACCTAAAATATACGTACTTCCACATTTTAAATTGACACTTGGATCATTTGTATTACTGTGAAGCATATTTTAATCACTGTTTGTTGCTGTTTTACTAGATTTCATCAAAGATGGATACATGCATACGGAGAAATCTAGTACAGTTGGCTCAGTTGAAGACAGGTGAACAAATTGATCTTCCACAGCTAGCATTGGGGCTTTTGGTTGGAATATTCAAATCAGATTTTCCTAATGAAAAACTCTATATGAACTGGAAGACTAGACAGGTGATAATGAACTACAGTTCTGTTTTTTCTTGTCGTCCTTGTGTAACTTCTTAAACCGTTTCATATTTGATATATGATAATCTCAAGTAAGTCTGGATGTCATCCATCCCGGTGTTTGTTAAGATTCCTTTGTCTTCTTGCGCTCCTTGGAAACATTATTAACAGATGCTTTAAAAAGCTGGATTGAAAAGAAGATGGCACATATGCATACCTTTTGTACCACAGCAAAGTTAAAATGTAACCTGCTTTAATAGGCATATGCAGCTTTTGGGGTTTTGTTTTCCTTGAAAATTGAATTTACTTCTGCATCATCCTGCTGCTCTGTGGACATGTGCTTAAACACGTTGATATGCATATTCACTATATGTAAAAGACAATGAAAATATGTTTGCTTAAGCCATTGAAGTAAGTGCTTTTCTATCGTCAATATAGGCTAACCTACTAGAAGAAGCCCTCTGTTTCTCTCCTAGTCTGGAGAAAAATGAACGAGCAACTATGAGAAAATGTCTTGCAACGATTAGAGACTCGAAGGTGCGTACTATAATTGTGATCTGGACGTTTCATAGCCAGCAAGTTCTCGTCTAATGAAATGACTTAACAGACTTCTCTTTCTTGAACCTAAAACTATTTTGGCTGGCATAGGAATGGGATGTCGTAATGTCTTCTTCGCTGCGGATTGAGGTTCTATCGTCTATAAGGCATGTGGCTTCGAAGTTGTCATCACTACCAGGCCGATGTGGTATTGAAGAAGAAACTTATTATTGGACTGCTATCTATCATTTAAACATTAGACTCTATGAGAAATTGTTATTTGGCGTATTTGATATTCTTGACGAGGGTCAACTCATAGAGGTAGATATTTCTAGTCTTGTTTTCCTTCTTATCATTTGTCGCATGCATTTTTGTCGCTGACTTCAAATACATATCAGGATGCCTCATCAATGCTTTTCCATATGAAATCAATTTGGTCGACATTAGGCATAACTGAGAATCTACATAATGCAATATACGGATGGGTTCTTTTTCAACAGGTATGTCTTATCTCAATTGGTTCACTTATTCTTCAGACATCTGCCTTATCTACACTCTGTGCAAAAATCTGGCTTGTTAGAGCTCTGTGTAACATTGAGCACATACACGTATCACCTGTAAAGCTGAACTGTTTCATTTATAAAATTAACGGTATTAAACATTCAAGTACACAGGTTGCGGCAGACACATATAAACACATACACATATCTATAATAATCTTGTTGAGGGTAGCTGAATTTTAGGACTGTTGGATAACTAGAATGAAACTCTACCCCTTGCTGCTATACAATAGTTTAAGTTACAGTGCCAGGTTGAGTTTTGTTATATGCTGTTTGATCCTCACTGCACCGATGCATGTATGTTGCATTTATAATTTATACCAGACAAGAGTTTAAGGTAGCCACCACATGTACCTTTTCTGTGAAGTTTGTGTGCACAGGTGAACCGTCTCTTCTGGGAAGCGCAATTCTGGAGTTGCAGAAGGTTACTTCCCCTGAATTGGGAAACCCCAAGGAAGATCTTTATTTAAGTCATCTAGTATGTTCAAGACAAACCATTGAAGCTGACATACACTTGGGTCTCTCGAAGGCAATTTTCACTTCAGTTAGTGCTTGGTGTGATGATAAACTTCAGGACTACCATCTACACTTTGGTAAGGTCAGTTCTCAATTTATGATAACGTCCTAATTTATTTACATGATTTTTCGTATTCTTTTCAAATTTGCTGGCCAAAAATTCTTTTATCTATCTCTGGTTAGCATGCAGTTCTTCTGCCATAAATTATTCTCTTTTCCGCGTAGTCAAGATCATTGGATTTTTGCTACATCCTAACTGATCAAAAGAAAGACTTGTTTTCATCTCTGTTGTAACTTGTATCATCATGTCGAATTTGTTTTGGCTATTCTTTCATGACATAATAAACATTGTTTTTCTAAAAAGCTTCTTCATCTTCTATGTCTCCTCAGAACCCTCGTGATTTTGGAATGCTTGTAAGCTTGGCATCAACAGTTGGACTTCCTCCAACTGACTGTACCAGAACTGAGGTTGGTGTTTCTGATGTTCTCTCTCCTACATAAATTTCCATTTTTGCACAGTATTTTATTTCTGTATATTTTACATCTGTTGACTTATGAATATTTAGTTGAAGTTAACATGTCTTGTACGAGCGCTGCATGCCGAAATTCTCCCCCTTCCTAGCAGTTTAAAACTAGCTTTTTCATCTTGATGTTGACATTTGCGTAATTTTCATGTGCTTTTCTGCAGTATTATTAACTTGCCAGGAGTTGACATTTTTCTGGCATGAGTATAAGTTTTTTGCATTAAGTGTTTGGCTGTAATAAGAAAAGCATTCTTAGTTGGGTATGGAAAGAGGAAATGCGTATATATTATCTAGTGTGTGCTTGGAGGAATACTCGGATGATCATTGTTGATAAATATCAGTTGCTCTTGCAGCTTATCAATCTGGATACCTTGAGTGATGATGTTGGTGATAAGATACAATCCTATGTGCAGAACTCTATTAAAGGTGCATGTGCCAGGGTGAGCTTTTGTCCTTTTACTTGTTTTGCTATATTGTATGAGGCACTTCTGTTATTTCTCTATCTTATGATGTACACATATACATAATGTCGGTGTTCTTAGGCTGCACATTTTGCATATGTGAAATCTCATGGTGAACGCACGCATGCTCTAGCTCTGCTTGCAAATGAACTGAGCGTCATCGCAAAGGCAGAGATCAATGAATTTGTCCCAGTTTTCTCCAAATGGTTACCCGAATGTATGATGATTTCGGCCATGCTGCTGCATCGGTTTTATGGAGAAAGACTGGTTTGTCCCTAAGCATTTTTAGTACTTAAAGAGAATTTAGTTTGTCTCTGCTATATATATATATATATATATATATATATATATATTTATGATTGATCTTTTGTTCTACTGGAACAGACGCCTTTCCTTGAAGGAGTTTCATCCCTCTCTGGTGATGTTAGAAAAGTAGTTCCTGCTGCTTATATGTTAGAGGAAGCCTTAACTCAACTGTATGATTGTCATAGCAAACTCAAGTTGCACAAACCTTACCTCCACAAGTTGAAGAATTACGAGGTCATTGAATAGATATTTCTTATACGAATTGATTTTGAGAACACAATTATATCACTACTCAGTTTTATTGTTCCTTAAATAAGTCATATAAGAAACTATTCATATTTGTTTATTTGCAGATAGAAAAGGCTGTCAAACCAGTAATGCTGGACTGGCTTATCTCTCAACATGATCATATCTTGCAATGGACTAAGCGAGCTTTTGAAATTGAGGTTATATATTCATGGCAAAATATTCACATGTTGATTGCTGTTGACAGTTGATATACTTTAAAGTATGTTCATAAGGGACACATTCGATAAATTATTTTAAACCTCATCTGGTCATGTGAGAAATCTTTGAAAAAGCTGCATTATATATAGTTTTTGAAGCATAATATATACTGATAAAGTGAAGCTGGATCCAGGAAGTCAGAAAATGTAAAAGACTTCACATCACTTTTCACAACCAAACAAATCCATAGCATGATGCAGAAAACTTTATTGTCCAAAAGTTGGAAACATGGTTTTTAATTATAATGATTTTTATAAGCAGGAGTGGGAACCTCTATCAGTTCAGCAAAGGCATGCTGCATCAATCGTTGAAATATTCAGGATCATAGAAGAGGTATACCTACCTACTATCATGACATCATTATGCAGAATAGTGTGCAAACTGTAGGAGCTTAGCAGCAGCCTCAAAATATAAAACGAGTTCAGTGTTCGAACACATTTTTCTTCGCTTAGGGTTGACTCTTGAATTACATGTTGGTTTTGTTGAAGCCCTTACTTTACTTCTAGTTCTCTCCAGCATGGTATTGCACGCAATTTATTTACCGTTTTACTTTCTCTTCTTACTTACTTTGCAGACTGTTTCTCAGCTCTTTGGTTTACATCTACCTGTTGATATCACGCATCTCCAAGCTCTTCTCTCATTAATTTATCATAGCTTGGATACGTATCTTCAGAGAATTTCTAATCAACTAGGTAACGACCAACTCCACATGTTCTTACAGTTGTTACTGAGTCTTGTTCTTGCACTGCCATAAAAAATACTATTATAATTCTTAAATCTTATGTCAGAATCTAGATTCTCCGCTTGAACAGGCTTTTCTGTGTCTGGTAGATTACTTGCAACATAAAGATATTTATGTTGCGTTTCTTTGTATGGGGTTTGCTTGAAACTAACATCTGAGTATATATAAAGAACTTCTTGTCCAAATCCAAAGGTGAAATAGTAAGCAATTCTTCTAAAGCATACTGTGATGTATTGACCATAAACCTATATCTGCAGTTGACAAGAAGCTTCTGTATCCGTCAGCTCCTCCTTTAA